TGTGTATGTTTTAGTGTTTCAGTAAATCCCTCAGTAAATACTTCAACTTGAAGCCTCACTCTTAACACTGGAGGAGGCTTTAGTACAGTACGCTTCACTTTACTTAGAGCGGACAAATACAACTTATGAGCTCTTATAATTTGTTATGAACAGTACTTATAATGTATTATGTTAACAATTCATAATGCATAATAAACATGGCTATAACATATAATGCATTTTTATAAATATTTATAGCTATGTTTATAATGTCTTATGAATGCATTATAACACGTTATGAATGTGTTTATAGATGCTTACAAAGGTCACATTCATAGAAAGTGTTACCGATAATTCTTATTATATTTCATGGCCTCATGCATATTAAACTGTAAACAAACCTTAGATACACTAATAAGGAATCTTTGGAAGAACCGCTTTTGGTTCCCTGAAACACCTTTCAGTAGTGTAGATCCTCTACACTATTTGAAGATTCTTTAAAGCTTAAAATGTTCTTCATGCTAACAAGTTTCTTTAGTGAACCAAAAGTGGTTCTTTTGTAGTATTGCTAAAAGAAGCCCTGGTAGCACCTTTACTCTATCGCTGCAGAGTTCCTTTTTGGTGATGTGCACAGGTACTAGAGTACTTGGTTAACCGTTGGTGGTGCCATTATTTGACTATGAATATTTGAGGTGGAGAAAACATATAGGCTAGCAATTCAGTGAAATATGACCGTAAATGTTATTTATACTTGGCCACTTCAAAACACGAGCGTTTAAAAGTGACGTGTGGCCAAGGACACGTTGTTATGAATGTGGCTGAGAAGGTACAGACAGCGGAGCTATGCTAACCTCCATATGATCTTAGCTAGGACCAGAAACAATAATAAAAATATACTTCTCTGACAAACTTTGATGTTGGCACGTCGTCTACTGAGGAGAAAAGTCTTCATCACCGTCCTACATAACACTTGTTGGCTGTATTAGCTCATCTGAAGAGGCAGCTTCTGTTACTCATCCAACACAAAAACCTACCAGAGTCCTTCGGCTCTTTTTGAGTAATAAAACATGTTCCTCTGCTGTGTTTTGCGCAACGCCAGTGCTGTCACCTAAAACGTAAACCTACAGCCAAAGGCCTTGTTTTTCCTTCCTTGCTCATTAACATGAATCAGTTCATGAACTCTTACAGATACTATCAAAATGAGTTAAATGCACATCCTAATCCTATTTCCTGTTTATATTTAAGTTGCTGCTTCCAAACGCGTATAGCGTATTTTGAAGCAGGTACGAATGTTGTTTTGAATCAAGGAGAAAGCAGACTGAGTAAGTAGGGAGGAAATTCAGAGAGTTTACGGTAAGCCACTCTGATCACACACTTAGTCATTGTGTTATTCCCATTTCAACGAGCGCTCCTGCCTAATCCCCCCATCCTCCCTAACTACCAGCTGTTTGGCATTGTGCGTGTGGGCGATACTGAAGGAAGCTTAAGGAGTCAGGGTCAAATAAGGAACTGAGCGGAGAATTTCCTTCCCAACTTCTTGGGCAGGTGCGAGGACGTAAGATGGAAAATATTTCAGCCTCCAACACACACACACACACACACACACACACACACACACACACACACACACACACAAGGACTGGTGTGTTAATGGGAGACTGATTGCATGACACTGCATTACTGCAGTTGTACTTGTCCATGTGGGTTGAATCACAGTTACAGTCATGCTTTATTTTCAGACTTCCTTCACAGAGTGCTTCACATGTAGACACACCAGTGTGGGCCTTCAGAGAAGATCTAGTCATCTCTGTCAAAGAAAAACATCAAAATACAAAAACTGCAGAAATACAGAAGCTTATTAATACACCACCACCCACATACACAAATGTACACATACACACACATAAACACACACACACGCACACACACACACACACACATAAACACACACACACACACTCAAACACACACATAAACACACACACACATAAACACACACACACACACACACACACACACACATAAACAAAGACACACACACACACACACACACACACACACACACACAGATATACAGACGTAACACACACACACACACAAAAAACAAAAAATGCAAAAAGACAGATGCTTATTCATCCACCTGACCCACATGCACACACACATATTCATATATACACATACATACATATATACACATACACACAGACACATACACACAAACACACACAGACGCTCACACACACACACAGGCACATACATAGACACATTACAGACACACAGAATATATATATATATATATATATATATATATATATATATATATATATATATATATATATATACACACACACACACACAGACACATTCACATGTGCACACACGCAAACACTCATACACACACATACCTAAACACACACACACAGGCTTTCCCACACATGCTCTCACAAACACACAATACACAAAAAGTGCAAACAAGACAGATGCTTTTTCATTAACACACACACCCCCCTATACAGAGAGACATACAACCACACACACCTACACACGGGTACACACATACAGACACATTACATGCACACTGAAACACACACACACACACACACACACCCACACTTTATAACCCAGAGCTGGGAGATTACAGCAGGTCAATAGTTCATGGCTTTACTATTAGGATAGCAGGCTTGCTGTTGAGTGTGTGTGAGCATCTGTCCCCCAGAGACACACCGCGGTGTATGTGTGTGTGTGTGTGTGTAAGCCAGCTATAATCCTCAGCTGCCACCACACGGCCTATAGACTTTCCCTTACTCCAGCCTTTATACCATAACCACAAGAACCACGGCAAACTCCTTCACTGCTTCCTGCTGGGACTTGTAGTCCATTACTATCCCTGCTGTCTGGTTTTTAATATGAAGCCAGAAGAGAGAAGAACTACAATGACCAGAGCAGGTTCTAAGATGGGCAGCGTATGCTGAAAGGGGCAGAAGGCTTAGGCTGGAATGTGCCACGTAGTGTCAGTTTCAGAGGTGCCAATCTCAGGCCTCCTATCCTATGTTTTTCTCCTGTTTATTTTTCCCCTGAGGTCCACTTCTGACATTTGAATGAGCTCATGTATAAAAAAAATGTAAAGACATATATATGTAAATGACCTCTCGATTGGTCACTCTGTATTGTAGCTGGTTTAAATAGCAGTCCAGGCTGAGAATTATTAAAGTTAGTCCCACCATATCTTCCACTGTTGGGTTAACAGGCTGTACAAAAGTCAGAGACCACAATTTGTTGAACTTCCAGTCGAAATAGTAGTTAAGTACAAGTACAGAAACACTCACTGTCCACTCTATTAGACACTTCTTCCTTGTCAGTCCACCTTGTAGATGTAAAGTCAGATAGTCAGATAGCTCATCTGCTGCTGCACAGTTTGTGTTAGTCATCCTCTAGTCCTTCATCAGGACATCAGGACGCTGTTGGCTGGATATTTTTGGTTCTCAGTCCAGCAGTGACACTGAGGAGTTTACAAACTCCAGCAGCACTGCTGTGTCTGATTCACTTGCACACTAACACACCACCACTACGTCAGCGTTACTGCAGTGCTGAGAATGATCCACCACCCAAATAGTACCTGCTCTGTGGTGATCCTGACCACTGAAGAACAGGGTGAAAGGGGGAACAGATGGACTACAGTCTGTGTAATAGAACTACAGTGTGCTCCTATATAGTCAGTGGAGCTGATAAAACGGACAGTGAGAGTAGAAACAAGGTGGACTTCATTAACTGGCTGGTCAGTGTATGTTTTCTCTCTTTTTGTTCTTGACCCTGAAGAATAATTAACTTGTACTTAACGGCCAGTTTGACTGGAAATTAAATAAATGAAGGGTGGTCTCGGACTTTTTAGCAGTACTGTATTTCTCTAAATTCTAATCAGTTGAGTGTATTGGAAAACATGGGCAACTGCAAAGATATTCAAGAAAATTCCCAGTTCATTCATCTCCATTAGTTGAGGGTCCTAAAGGCCATGGCGGTCCCGTCTTTTCGTCTTCTTTCACAGCTGCAAAATCATATGGGTTGCATATGCGAGCATAGCATCTATTGTCATCTCTCTCTCTCTCTCTCTCTCTCTCTCTCTCTCTCTCTCTCTCTCTCTCTCTGGCTGAGGGTCACACTCAAGGCTGTAATATTTCTGCTGCAGTGCTTGGGTGGTCAGGGCTGCCAGACACGCTGGCTGTGCTGCTGATGGATAGAGCACACTCACACACACAGTCCAGCTATTGAAAGAGCACAAACAGCACCATCTTAACCATTAAACACCTTTGACATAAAACCCTGCAGTACTGTATACAGTACATATAATAACTAACAATAGCAGCATGAGATTTAGTTAGTATATACTCAGATAGTGAAGGTGAAGCCTTGTTTTCTCATAACTCCACCAAATCTGCATTATTCAATAGTTAAAATGTAAACAAGGTCAATCAGAGTAGCTCGAAGTGAAGAGGAGCCATTCTAGAGAATCTAACCAGTCAGAACTGTTTACTGTGGTGGTGATAGGAACCAGACGTCTGAAGAGTTTATTGCCTCTTAAAGTTCCCTCACAGAAAGTATTACGTGAAATGGTTGTCTGAGACACTGTTTTATGATAGTTGTAAAAGGCTTAAAATGTAGTTTTAAAAGCCATTCATGGCATACAGAGTGGTATTAAGGTAAACTATTATATATGAAAAGAGAGTAACTCTTTAGAATAAGACTACCCTTAATTTAATGGTTATTATTTAGGTCATAAGCACCTAAAATCATTAATAAGAAATTCTACCAATCTACCAATGAATGTAGCTGTGAACCTTCATTCATGCTGGTTACTTCTCTTATTGTTTTCTCCATTATTCAGCATTATACCTGTTCATCAGATGTAAAAGGTCACTATTTGTATATTATTAATCTGTCATAACCGCTTATTAAAAAGGTTTTGTGACAAATGGGCCACTGGAAATGATTCAGAGTTGGTGAATTTTCTTTTCTTTTCCCTCCAGACGAAATCCCACAGAAGACTATCCCTCACAGACGTGGGCTGGCCAGAAGGAAGCGGGACGTTACCCAAATCCCAGCCCCTCCTACGGTGGAAACCTGGCCAGGGATCCCTCCAGCAACCGGCCAGGTTCACCTCGGCTCCCCATGCCCCGACCTGAAGGCCAGGGCGGGTACTACCCATCACCTCCCCCTGTGCAGAGGGGGCCGCTCAGACAGGACGTCCCCCCATCTCCCACTCCGGGCAAGCGGGCAGCACCCAGCTACGAAACTGTGGCTAAGGGAGGCTACCGTACTGCCAACCAAGACCAGTATGGTGCTTACGGAGACGGACAGTACCCGGACCCCCGACAGAAAAAACCTGTGATAGGGGCTGTGTAGAGTAAGGCTTATGATGTTAGTGGCTAATGTGTGTCTTGTGTGTTTAAGAAAGTTCTAAAGATTTTGAAGGAACATTCTGAAGGACCATACACTGTAAATCCATAAGTTTACAGACACCTTCTCATCCAATGTTGTTCCTCTTTTGCTGCAGTAACAGCATCTACTCTTCAGGGAAGGCTTTACACTAGATGTTGGAGCATCGCTGTGAGGATTTGATTGAGCATTAGTAAGGTCAGGTACTGATGTTGGATGATCAGTTCTGGATCACTCCAACTCATCCCAAAGGTATTGGATGAAGCTAAAGCACTCCAGAGAACACAGTTCCACCACTCCACAGTCCTATGCTGGGGGTCTTCATATTAGATCCTTTATCGGGCCTGACATTTTGGTCTAAACCTGAATGCAGCCCAAGAACTTTTTGTCCAAGTCTGACTTGACCTTAACAACAACATCATATTTTGAGTCACAACCCAACCAGAGCCCAACGGTTTTGTCTGCACCCCATCATCAAGGAATGTTTGAATCTGTTTTAGGACCAACATAATTCTCTCGAAGCTGGCCTGGACTGGTCCATCATTTCCCAAATTGCTAAATAAAATGTGACTGGATAGCACCAGTTAAGCTATCCCATAGTGGCAATTAAAGTCATCATTAGATCACAGACAAATGAAATAAAAACAATATAGAATATTATATAGCAAATGACTTAGCTGTCAAAAATCAGGTTAAATTCCATTTCCATTAATTTGTCAAGAAATGGAAAATGGAACTCTCCTTAATGTACACTTTCACTTGCCTTCTGGACCTGTGCTAAATTCATGAGTAGCTGACTAGAATTTCAAAACTGTTTTAAGGTAATGACCAGCATTGGCACTGGGCATAGTGCCCTCAAGTCCATCTCCTCCCGAGTATGCCATTCTATCTGCATTGCATTTCTATGGAGATTATACAAGCTGTTCGTCTGCAAATGATGAACGTCCCAGTGGGTGCACCTTAAAGTAGCTGAATTCACTAATTAGAAGGGGTGTCTGGATACTTTTGGACATATAGTGTATTTGCTTGCTTTAACTGGTATGAAAAGGTCACCAAAACCTGTATGTAGAGCCCAGGTTGCCAACCCTGGTCCTGAAGTACCCCTGCAGATCTTGGTGGTTTTTATGCTACTAAACAATAGTCTCTCAAGGCCAGACTTGATGTCTTACAACCATGAGAAAAATTGTGCCCTAATATGGGTGGGAACGTAGACTTGTTAGGGTGGGAAGAAACTTGAACGTGAATCTATCCAGTGGCTCGTAAAGAAGGAGCTCAAACTAGATGGTGCACTCGTCAACATTGTCCGGCAGACAACAAGCCTGTCGATAGCCCATGGATGTAATGTAAGTTAGCATGGCTGAAAGGTCCCCCGATGAAAAAACAGTTGCATGTACTGTTTCAAGAGAAAAACAGTTTTCTTAGCTAACAATCGCGTTTTGCTAGCTTGTTTTGCTTGTGCAGTCGCTTGCGCTCTGGATCCTTCGGGATTGTTCTTGGGAATTGGTGGGAAAGTTTCAGAGGGGGCATATCCTCATTTCTAAAAGGTTTCGTTGTAATCCAACACCCAAAGTTTAACAAGTCGTTCTCTGACTTGTACTCTTGTTCCAAGACCACGTCTGGCCCCACGAGACTAATTACAAACTTGATCCATGTAATCAGCTTTTGAATAGCTTATGAAGTAGATATATTAGAGCAGGGAAAACAGGGTATTCCAGGACCAGGATTTGGAACAAGGTAATAGCGATGTTTGTGGCTAATCTGCCTCTTGAGGTTTTCGGAATTTCTAGATTTTGAAGGATGAATTTTTTCTCAGAAAATATTTGCTTGCTTAACGGAAGTGAAACAAATGCCAAAATCCTACATGGAACAAAAAGTTTGCAATTCTTTGTAAATGATGTTTGTATTTTTTGCTTGTTTAACATCCGACCCTCATATCTGCTGACCCAGCAGTGCAGGTTCTCTTTTGTTGTGCATTCCACAGTCAGTAACTTAAATCAATATATGCAGATCTATTTGTATTTTGTATACGTATTCAGTCGCGTGTATCTAACTCATCGCCGCTGTCTGATGTGGGTTCTACTGTAGATAACGTTTCGTCTGTGGTTTTCGACGGTCATTATCTGTGTGGTTTTCCTCATGGCTTCAGGCTGTGGTTTGCCAGTGCATGTTATCTGATAACAGATAGTCTCTGTTTTCTCATAGCAACATCTTGAAAGACGACTCGCTCTCTGCAGCGTCTCCTGAATGAATAGGTGCCTTATTGTTGTTCCGAGGACAAATTATGTTGTGATTAGTTGGTAATGAGAAAACGAGTGTGTGGTGGTGATTAACAGCTAGTCATGTTGCGTTTCGGGTCTTGCTAATAGGAATCTGCTAATGTTGTTTATGTTGTTGTTTAGAGTTTTAATGAAGAGAGCTCCAGTGTGAGCATGGTGCACCCGAAAACTCTGAGGCAATGAGGAACTTATTGTCTTTTTTTGTGAATCTATTTGTGTATATACTGGGGTGTTAGGTCAATCAACCATAGCCAAAAAAAAATAAAATTTCAGGTTAATTTGATGATGACAGTAATATTGGTTTTAATGTGGGGATTCTTGGTGGGGAATTTTGTATGTTTGTGAAATTTTAACCCATAAATGCCACCTTTCTTAATCCTTTATATGATAAAATAGATTCTTCTGTAAAGACTAAGTTTCTGAAACCTGCCATTTAGCCAATGATTGTGCCTCTCTACCCTGCTACAATCTATAATTAAAGCTTTTTTATAAGGTGTAAAACTTATGCAAGGTAATTTAGAGCCAAATCGAAGGTACTGTAGCGGCTTTTCTTTCCCTATTTATTTCCATGATTTATTTTTTGAAGGCAAGAGAACAAATTCTATGAAATGTGTATTTTATCTATAAGAATCTTCTACCTTATGTGTTACTTTGTTAAGTTTATATTCTGTCTTTTGAAAAATCAGTTTGACAATCTTGTAAGTATCTAAGATGAGCCAGTTGATTTATCTTGTTATGCCATTTTTATTTTGTAGCATGTTTTTCAATAAAAGTGAAGATGAAATTCAAAAATTGGGCTGGGAGTGAAATACTAGTTCATATTATTAACAAGCTCTAATGAGCAGATAGTGACCTGAAAGTTATGCACTTTTCAGGTTATATTTCAGTGTAGAGAGTTAAAGAAAATGATTAAGAGATACAGACCAAACTGGACACCTAACAGTGCAAGCGCTGGTAGACCACCAAAACTGCCCCCCCCCCATCAGATAAACAGCACTTAGATCTTTCATCTTTGAGAGAGAGGAGAAAATCAAGCTCCGCTCTTGCTTCAGATCTAAAAAAACATCCACAGCCATCCTTCCACTGTGAGAAGACAACTCAGCACTATGAGTCTGATGGGATGTTGCTGAGGATAGAAAACAGACAAAATCAAACAAAGAAGCTGCTGGTTTTCTCACCATAATGGATTGACCACCCCAGAGTCCAGACCTCAACATCACTGACTATGTTTGGGAATATATGGATCATTAGAAGCAGAAAAATGCAATTTCTGAGACTGAAGTTTGGAGATGTGGGAAAAATATCCCAGCAGATTTCCTTGAGAAACTGAAAGTGAGTCTCCTGAAAAGAATGGAAGCTGTAATAAAGATAAAAGGTGGACACACTACATTCTTACCATATTTAGCTGTTGAGGTTTCTGTTTAATAACTTGTACTTTGGTTGTTTTGGCTGGAAATGAAATAAATGAAGGGTGAAGTGAATGAGTTGCCAGATTAGAAGTCAGCTGTCAATGTATTAAATCAGTTGTAATAAGCAAATAATGTAACACTGGCCTAGCAGCCATAGTGTGAGGCTGTCATTTTTGGAAGAAAATTGGTTGGAACAGCAGATTTGAAACAGTTGATACAGATGATAACTTCAGTGTAAATGTAATTCATTAAGTAACTATATAGTTAATTATATAATTATGCAAATGCATTGAAATAGATGCTAGACTTTTAAGAGTTAATAACAAAATTCCACACTTTTTAATTGGCTCTATTGCAATAACTTATACCCCCACCAAACACACTTATCTGACAAAACCGATAATTGACATTGCCGATGATTGCTGAATCATATTATAATTAAGATTTGAAGATTCAACTAATTAAGGACTAATTGGAGTATTTGGGGAATCAGACTGATTAGAAAATTAGGCTTGAAAGGTTCATGTTCCTCTTGGATTGGAAAATTAGGTGCTTAATTAAAGAGAAGAGGATGGGGTTGGAAGCAGGGTGGAGGGGAAGCCGTCTAGTGTTATTACTGTTCTTTTGCGCTCCATTTGTTGTCATTACATTATTATTATTAGGTAATTACATAATAATTACACAATTATGTACTATATATTTGATTTGCGTTCTGTGTCTGCATATGTGACATCTTTCTGTATGATTTAATGTTAAGAAATGACTACAAACCATGGCAAAATGTAAAGGATTGTCTTTACACGAAAAAAGTGCTAAAATATCTCATCGTCTACTTATGAACATAAACTTAATATGGGTTAAAACTTTAGAATTTGCCAGAATTCCTTTGCTTATTTCAGTAAATCTAATGTAAGAAGAGGCATTTGAAGACATATACATAAGGAACCTAGCAGGGATACAGCTTTAGGAAAAGATCTGCTGAAAGAAATGTTTGCAAGGTTTACACTGAAGAAGGTTTGGGAAAATGGCAAGGTTGTGCTTAAATACTGGCTCTGCATTGTCCTTTATGAGCCACAGTGGTATCTTCAGAATTGCATTCATATCTCAGATTTGTCTGCCGGTCAAGCCTTTCCATGAATGGCTGAGTGCTCCGCCACCTAAACGGCCTCCCAGTGATGTAAGAGGACGAAGCACCTTTGAATCCTTCAAGAAGAATTTGAATGGATCTTGTGCAGCCAAGCACTCTTGATGAAAACGAAACGGCCACTCAAGCACTTTTGAGGCCTCCGTCTCCTCGTCCTTCACCATAACCCCTCGTTTATTTCAATTACCTCCCCCTCTTTTCATGTACGAGGCCTGGTATCTGAGCCCGTTGAGTGGATTTGCTCATTTCATTACGCCCCCATTATGAGGTAACAGACTCCTATCTCAGGGCTCCCTAGCTCATCAAGACATTATCAGTCAACCCTGGAATGTTCTGGATGGAAATTTTCTCTGCTGCGGGACGCACTGACCTACCCTTCACCTACAGCGGGGAGACTTGAGCAAGTTTCTGGCATGATCTTGTCATCCAAGTACTAAACACACACCTGCTTGGAAACAAACAAACATATCTTCATGTGTAAATAGTACTTCGCTTGTACTACATTCCGGAAAAGCAAGACGTACCTAGTAATAATATAAATGCGCTTCAAAAACATCACTTATCCTCAGACGTTGTGACTGAAGTTAAGCTGTTTGGCTGGAGTCTCGCACTCAAACACAACTTTTGCCCTCTTATCCGTGTTTTTGTAGGAAATGGTTTCTGGTTTCTTCAGCTTCTACAGTCTCTTTCTGAATCATCTACTGGAACTGCACAGGGTCATGTTGGCCAAGTGGTCAGATTTGCTTCCTTTTTTTATTTTCCCATGCACTGTGTTCTACCAACATTGTTCCAAAGTTGCATGTGCAGAAATGTCAACCAAGCTGAGAAAAACTATGGGGAAGCAACACTGAGACCCAAAAGGAAAAACTTGCGAAAAGCATGTGTAAAAACCACTTAGAGGAAACAAAACTTTCAGAAATTCTCCCTAAGAGCATGAACAACAAACCAAGAGTCAAAAAGGGGAACTCCTCTGAGCCACACGAGTGCACAAGTATACAAGTTTACATGGAGATTAAACAGAGGCACTCAGATGATGCAAAGGAAAGATCCATGAGATAAGACAATGATATTAAAGTGATGTTAAGTCTGTCTGAACTACTGATTATGTTGGACATATACAGGATGTCTGATACTGTATGAGAACATGGTGGGGAAGTTCAGTATGAGTGTAAAACAGGATTACAACTTTCAGGCCCAGTTTCGGAGTTCACGCAGGGGTTGGCAGTCTTGAAGCTCATTACAAATCATGATAGAAATTTGAGAGGGATTAGAATCCTTTAGAAAGTCAAACACTCAGTTTCCACCCTTTCATTGTGGTAATGAGTCAGTGGAGTTTTGTGACACTGAAATAAGCCTTGTACAACAATGGTCTGGTGTGAACTTTCCAAGTTTCTTCTGCTTTGGGTTTGTAGAGGATCTTGAATCCAAGTCCCTTTCACTTGTATTAAATTTAAAGTCATGGAATCATGTAGTGCAACCGTCTAAGCGTTGGCCCTATCATCAGGAGATCACGAGTTCGATCCCTGGTGATGCTACAGCCATCCATTGCTGGGAGTCCAAGAGAGCACAAGTGGCCTCGCTCTCTGGGTGGGTAGGATGGCCCTGCCTCTCCCCCCATCACTTAACGCAATGCTAGTCAGTGCAGGCGTCTGTTAGCTGACATAACAGGTCTGGCGGTTGGTTCTTTCCTCCAAGCTGTCCAATGACGTTGCGTGAGCGGCATCCCCTCCAAAAAAGCCTGGAGTCATCAAATTCCTGCCTCAAACCTATCTCAAGTCAGTCATGTGATTTGAATGAAAACTGAGCTGCAATGACGTTTTACAACAGAAGGTTTTCACCCCACCCTCCCCACTGTCGTTGCTCCCTAGCAGCTCACTGAGAGCCAGCAAAGTCTTAGTTAATCTGATAAAAGAATTATGGGAAAAAATATTTTATTTGATTACGTAAACCAAAAATATCTAAGCCGATTTCCATTCCACTGGGCACTTGTGGTTTAACTTTCTTCGGATGGTTCTTAGCATTGGGATAGACTCCAGCACCCCCTGCCACCCAGGAGGATAAGCAGCTTAGAAGATGAGTGAGTAAGTGTGATGGTATGGTTCTTTAGAATGTGTGAGTGTCAGGAACCTCTTTAAAGCTGAAAGAAGAATGTTTAACGAAGAACCTTTAAATTGGTGAAGAACATTTCTTCACAGACACAAATCTCTTTTTCAGACACGGTTGTTTTTGGAACCATTCCTCTATGGGAGCTGCAAAGAACCCATTGTGGCACTTTAAAAAAAAAAATTAGGAGGGTGTAGTTGTTCATGGACGACATACCTCAGAGTGACAGTTCTGTTTCTGGATCAGCTTTGCTTGTCGCCTCATTGTGGCCGAGGCTTCTAAAGAGCGCAAGAAAGCTGATCCCAGATCAGCACTGCTATTTTGAGATGCTTTGTGAATGATGGCCCTGATCTCGACTTTAGTAACGTATCCATCTCCCTTTCAGCACTTCCCATGTGTGAATACAGTGGGCGCATGTGTCCATGTGAGCTAAGCTTCCTCCACTGAAAATGTAATACTTCTCGTGTTTATCACTGCTGTGGTCATTTGTCCATCTCTAGTTTGTAGCTGGCTTTTTATGTGCAATGATAAGTCAATGCAAGACTTCACACAACAGTCTGGATTAGCATACATTCGAGAGGCATTGTCCTTTATTTAGGGCTGCCTGACGGAGCGCCTCATACTCAAACACATGCGTTCACGCCGAATGACCTTATTGAGCCGACCGGAACGTGGGGAGCGGAGAGCCGTGCCAGTTCCAGGGTGATGCCAGGTGTTTGGGTTGGCAGAGGAGGGAGGGAGGGCTGCTCGTGGCCCACATATCAACCCCCGTATCAGGTTCCTCCATCGTGATAAAAGGAACGTTCCTATTAGCTTTGCGCTAAGACCCGGGGCACCAAGCCAAGAGATGCATAACTAAGGCTGAGGCTTGTGTGCCCTTAGCAGGAAGAGGGAGTGAGGCTTAGGTTTTAGTAGACCTTCATGATTCTGTTTAAAGCCAGAGTTTGGTGTGAAATTTGTTTTATAAAATTTATTTATTTATTTTTTTCTTACCCCAGATGTCAATTAGCCAACACATGTTTGGTCTGACACTGTATGACATACTGTTATCTTTACAAATGGACACGAGTATGTTTTATAGCCAAAACAGTCATAGCAGCCAACTTCCAGCATGAAAACCACCATTAGAA